CTCAGGTGAGTGCTTTCCCGTTTCCTGGGGTGCCAACAGTCCAGTGACGTCAGACAACTTTCAGGCAGTACCTGTGCAAACCAACAATCGCCACTCGCCAGCACTTCAGGCACGTGTGGCGCGTGTGGAACCTAATTACGTGTGGTAGGAGCCAGTGGTAGTTACCTTGTCCTAGGGCATTTGGACCTTCATGCTTGGCTCTTTTTTCACATCAGCCAGCCTCTTCTAAAATAGTCTTCCGCAGAGCCTGATTTCCCGAATGCAGTCTTTTTGAAAACCTAATGTCAAAGAGTCTCCATCATTACGGCTGTAAGCCAAGTTGCCTCTGCTTTTGAAGTTGGTAGCTGCTGAACTTGGTGGAAATGTATGTCCAGCATTGAATTAGGGACACCGTTTGCCGCCGGAGGCAAGCCGGCCAGTCTTCGGTTTGTTGGGACTCATGAAATTAAGGGGTTCTTCGGTGTGGGGCGAACTGCAAGAAATTTGACATGTCAGTTTGACACCAAGCAAGTATGCAGTCTCAAGGGTGAGGCAAAACTTGAGTCAAGCCGAGAGGTTTGCCTGCAATGTCGTTGTCGCAATCGGAGTTGACCAGATCAGAAGCAACTCTAAACCTTAGACTTCTAAACCCTAAAGTACTGGTATACTTTCCAAGCGCCAGCAGGAGCTTGGCGAAAAGGGGATGCTTTCGTAGCGACTCCAAATGAGACTCCTCAAGCGGGAACTATTTGGACTGAGGGCCTGGGTAGAGACTGATTGGAATTCCGTTTTTGGTTCAGTGCTTTGTTCCGTGTTATTTTGACCCTGCTACCTGTGTTTCCGACAAAAACCTGTCTGACCCTGGCCCACCTCCTTCCTGTGCGTGGGGATAAAAAAGCCTGTTGCCCTTGTAGCAGCTCACACATCCCTGAAGAACCTGCAAGGTTATGTGCCGTCCAGCATCCCCATTGTTATGGGCGCTTTCACTTGCGAGCAGCGCTCGTTGATCAAAACGGTATCCATTGCTGCTATGAACGAAGAGATATGCCAGACAGCGTGCAGTCACCAGGAGAGCTGTTGGTCTCTGGGCATTTTGGAAATGCCATTTCCTGTTTTGTGGTCGGTAGTCTGTTTTCCCGACCAAACATTGAACAGCTGAGTTTCATGTGGCGGTGCAAGACCCGTTCAGGTTTTATTGGTTTGGCACCTTGGGCAGTCTGCAGCAGTGCCGCTTGTAACTCGACTTTCGCCTCAACCTTGCCTTGCCGGTCAAGGCTTGACCCTTAAGAATACGCACAAGTTGGATAGAGTTCTGGGGACATTTCTTCCCGGGCCTCCTCTTCATGTTTGCCTAGGTACAAAGATTGCAACGTGTTGGTCCGGGTCGACTCTGCCACGGGGACGTTGCATGGCCTCCCTCCTACCAAGGACCGAGTAGGCTTGTGGTGCAATTTAGTGGCCCCTGCTGCACACAGCTCCCTATGTGACTGACGTCTTCCCACTTGCATTCTAAGAGCCTTCCTCTCCAGGGAACGAGCATGTGGCGGCAGGTTGATGTTGCCCACTCGTAGCTGATTGCAACAACCAGGAAGTCTCAATGCTATTGAAAGCGGGATAGGGAAGCCATTGCGCTGCTTTGGATACCTCTCCCCGTCATGCAATCCATTCATGGTTTTCTTCAAATAGCCACATGTTGTGATCACGCCTTGACGCCGGTTTGAGATGCAGAGATTCAGGAAGCGTTGCATTGTGTATTTGATGTGAATTCCAATAGACAAGAGGCCATCGTACCTTCATGTTCGTCTCATGTCAAGAGCCGCTACAGCTGTATCTCGAACCTCGTACTTCAAGGTAAGCGCACGGAGTGTCAGGGACCCAAGAGGGCATTGATTCGCATCCCGAGCTTTGGCTTCGCCCTGCATTTTTTGTGCCCAAACTGGAAAGCACCTGCGTTTCCTAGTCAAGAAGGCCTTGTAGCTAGGCAACTTTAGCTTGGATTCGATGGACTTGTGGGCCAGGACGAGCCGGATGCAGAATTCTGCCGCCGGGCGAATGCCGAAGCTTGCTGGGCTGTCAGCAAGCGTAGGGCCTTTCTGCATGCGCCCCTCGGAGTTTTTCAAATTTCTTGAAGGGCTGTGAACAGGCAGAATGCGGGAGACCCCAACGGGAAATTTCAAGAACACCGTAGGTGCCTACCACCCTGCTCTTTCAATTCGGTTCATATTCGATCATATTTCTACTGTGCATGTTCTTGGTCTTCAGGATTCTCCAGGTGTGCAGCTCAATCAGATGTGGGGTAGGAGGGTGAAGGAGGGCATGTGCATTCGTGCGGGGTATCGGGCTGCAGGGTTGAGGGCTGCGGGTGTGTTACACGTTGCTGCAAGAGCCTTGCCTGCACCAAGGGCAACCGAGCAGCATCCAGAGGACTTGAGCCCTTGCATCTTCCAATCCTTGGTGCAGCAATGCGACCAGAAGCTCCTCTTGGGAGGTGGCGTGGTTTCTGCTTGTGGGCCCGTAGAGGTGCAAGAAACTATCAGAGGGTGCACTTGCAACTTGTGCAAGCGTGCCTCGAGAACTTGGGTTTTGAATCGCAGTCCTGCCCCAGGGTTGGGCTTGCGCGGCTCTTCAAGGATAGCCTGGGTATGCCGCTGGGTCTCCACAGCACTCTTCATCAGACTTCACACCACACCCAAAACAACACCTAGGACTGCATCACCCAAAGACTCCAATCACACAAAACCACCGTCAGTAGGTTGGATAGTTGAAGCAGAGCAGCTTTCAAGGAAGGATGCCGTTCACAGCTCGTCCAAATCTTTGCAAAACTTTGGGCGGCTGAGCCTCGCTGGCAGGCCAGGGTGTGCAAAACTGCTTTGGCTGCCTGTACGCCAAGTACACCGAGGCGAGCATTGCATCTGCATGTGTCTATTTCTTCTCGCGTATGATGGCGCAGTTGGCCATTATAGGCATTGTGGCAGCATCTGCCCAAGCCCCCAAGCCATGCCCCTTGCATCCTTCAGGGTGCAGCATGGCAGCGGAAGAGGCGGCTTCCTACAAGCTTTGCCACAGGGGCGCAGCTGGTGGCGTGTGGAAATATCTTAGTCGATCTTAGTCTTAGGGCTGGGGGCTTCCTACACATTTGAATTTTGACCCTGGAACTTGGTGGAAGCCTGGTGAGGCAGGAGTTTTGTGATTCTGAACTGCTTGCACGAGAATCTGAGGGAGTTTTTCCTGGGCTCACGGAAGATGTCCTGTAGATATTCCTGTGGGCCATGACCCTTGTCCGTGGGAATGGGTGGTGGGGGGGCTAGTTCTTGATCACAGGAACGGAGATAATCAGATTGAACAGGTGGTCGTCGTTGAAAACCCCCGATAGCGAGTAAGAAAACGGACACCGCACCGCACGGAAGTTTCATTCGAGTTAGTGTTTAGGTTACTCAAGGTGTGGCCACACGGACCTTGGAGTCAAGCTGGGTTGTAGTGGCTCCGGGTGTCCTGGCAACTTGGAGGCTGTAGAGTAGTCGAGGCAGTAGAGGCCCCACTCAAAAGGAGCTTCCCTGTGGCCCGTTGACAAATCCTAGGTGGTGTCGTGCTGGAAGGAGCGCTTCCAGCCGGTTCAGCACCCTGAGGCGGAACTCGGCATTCACCCGCCTATAGGGTCCGTGACACAACGCCCGGCCATTGTCTAGACTCTAGACTCTCTGAGCTGCCTTCCACCCCCATGCACATTCTTCACTTTGCAACATGTACCTTTCTGAAAGAATAGCCTATAACTGTGGGCTTGTCCGCACGTGAGAAGCTGAGGTGTTTCTCAAGTGATGAGACATGTTTCAAGATGGGCAAACGTAAACGGCTGAAGGCCACTGGTACCAGACACAGCACACCCGTGCGGTTTCTGGTACCAGCTTCCCCGCCCCAGCCCCCCCCTCCCGCGCGCCCTCCGTCTCCCATCCATTCCTCCTGCGAATGCTATTGCCCAGCTGCTGCACTTGCGCTACTGGATGCTGCTCAGAATCTGGAAGTACTGTGACTGCAGCAGCGTGCGAAACATTCCGGGTCACAAGGTTGGAAAGGGTAGTACGACAACACCCCTACTCATTGACTGGCATAATCATGCATGTTGGCACTCAGATTCGTGCGCAGGTCCCCGGCCCGCCACCAGCAGCGCATGTAACTCTGAATTGCGTCGGAGGAAGCTGGTGGAACCAACAGGACTCCCTTCATTTTCAAGGGGTTGATGTCGCAGTGTGGCTTGCCAAAATGCCACAATGCCAAAATGCCAGTTTAGGGTTTAGGGTTTAGGGTTTAGGGTTTAGGGTTTAGGGTTTAGGGTTTAGGGTTTAGGGCGAGTTGTTGTGTTGGCTTCGGCTCCAAGTCTTTGGTGTTGTGGCCTGGGGGGAGGGAGATCTTCAGAACGTCAGCCTGTTGCAGGGCTTAGGCAGCATGAAGTGTTTTTGAAAGGACCAGCCAGCGCTGACGAAGTTTGCGTGCGGAGCCTGCGTTCAGGCTGCTCGGTGCGGGTGAGAACTAGAGGCGTTTTTGTTCGATAGCTGTTGTGCAGGCGATTAAGCAGTTGTGTTTCTGAGAATATCGAAATGCAGTCTGCGGTGGTTATATGGTCCTTAAACAATAAAGTTTAAAGATGTTCAAAAGCCTTTAAAGTTTGTTTTTGCCTTCCGTGGAGGTGGTGCAGCCGCCCTACGCGAGCTATCAGGAACAGTGCCCTGGGCTTCGAGTTAATTCTCTAGCCCTCTGTGCCCTGGGCACACAGATGTGAAGCACGAATATCTGGGATCACAGATAGTCACTATATGTGAAATGTTCGAATTCAGTTCTAGTGTTCTCACATTTTTTTTTTTTTTTTGGGGGGGGGGGGGGGTTCTCTTAGGTTCTCTCAGGATACTTTGGAATACTAAGGCAGAGGCAGGAGCTCTACTTCTCGTCCAAGTTGGTCGTCCGGCTGTACATCGATCAAAAGCAGCCGAAGGCAGTGGATGATGATGGGCATCTGGTGAGTTGGAGTGATGACTTCAACGACTTCAATGGCTTCAATGACTTCAGTCCCACGATGGCCTCTTGACCCATGCATGCCCAACTTTCACTCCAACCCTCGACCCGAAAAAGTCCTAAGAATCTTCCAAACCCGTCACGCGACAGTCGCGGCCCAGGTGACTGTTGACTCCGATGCCGTCCCCCTCGTCCAATTCAAAACGAGCGCAAGCCACGCACACAAATTGAACAAAGGTGCAACCCGCGCGACGGATCGGACGGATCGGACGGGTTTCCTCGCAGAGCCGGCGAATGCCACGACTTATGGCACCTGGCGCCTGCGGTCGGTGTACAACTCCGCAAACTGCCTGAACGCGGACGCGGGCGGCATCCTGTCGAGCAACAACTGTTCCACGAAACTCGGATAAAATCAAGTCCTTTTTTTGTGTGAGCAATCCCAAGAAAGGGCTGAGACAGGGTAGTTTTTCATGGCTCCGCAAGGTTTCAAGAACAGCTGAGGAAGGAAAGCAAACGGTCGGCGAGCCAGCTTTTCAGCCTCAGGGCCTCATTGCAATTTGTCATTTTGTCTCTGTCCATCTGCATATTTTGCACACATGGCTGCCCATTCTTTTGGTGTCAAAGCTTAGGCATATCTCAAGTGCGCAGCGCTCTCACGGCGACGCTGCTCAAGGACGCAGCAGACTCCCCAGTAACAGGCTCACAGGAGGAGGAGGATCATTTCGATTTGCTGTGGTCACTCTCCTTAGTGCGACGGTGCCGAGACATTGAGGGCGTGCTCCGCTCGTTGCAATTTCACACAGGGCAGGATTTGGAGAATTGCAGCGTGGCGCCCTTTGTGGACATATCGGAATTGAAGCGGACTGCGATTGTACCGGGCACTCTGCAAGTTCAGCGTGGCTCAAGATGTTTGTCTTGGAAATACGCCTCAGATTCAAAGGCGTCATACAGTGATTGCGGCGATCGAACAAGCAAGTGGGTTATGTCTCAGCAGCAAATCCATCCCACCAACGACAAAAGCCTTTGCGTTGGCTTTCCCTCCGGTTCTGATTCAGTCTCAGACATCCGGAAGAGCTTAGCCTTAAAGCAAGACGTTGTCCATCTTTAAGTCCCCTGTGGTCTTAAGAGGCGTTCAGTAGAATCAGCTTGAAGTGGTTTCAAGAAGAGCTAAGGTGCGCGGACATAAAAGTGCTGAAGTGGGATCCTGAAGGCGGCAGGCTTGGCGACTACAAAATGGATTGGTGTTTGGGACACGCAAGTTACGACGACAATTCTCAGGTGTGGTGGGCAGGAACCACGAAATGCGGGCATGAGGAGGCGCATGGATTGGCCGTGGCGCAGACGCCGGGAACTTTGGAGTGTCCTCCAGGCTCGCTTCTGAGCTATGTTACAAAGGAGGCTGGCAGTTCAGAGGTGCAGTACCAATGCGCTTTCATGGCTGCCATGGGGTCTTGTGTGCAGACAGAGACGCCCAAGTTTGCCAAGATGGACGTGCAGTTTATGCAGACTGAGATTTGGTGCAACGATGGCATGGCGCTACAGTCGATCTATCTCCAGGAAACTGACGACGGGGGTGCAGCATCGAACAGCTTCCGCTACTACTGCTGCTACATCACAGGGTTGCCCGCTTCCACTAAAAGGGTGATTTGTGTTCTTTCGTTCTCCCCTCCATGCATGTTTGTTGATTTCGCTGCGTGCCGCACACCTCGGCTCGACGGGGGTGATGGGTCACAGGCCAGGTTCAAGTCGCGCGCTGCGTTAGAGTCTAGGGTCCACAAGGACCTTGAAGTCAAGTGCTTATAGTGGCGCCGGGTGTCCTGGTGGGCAACTTGGAGGCCATAGAAAACGGGGGAGGAGAAGGGGGGGGAGAAGGGGAGGGGTGGGGGGGGAGGGGAGCTAAACGTCCAGTTTTTGCTTCACAGAAAACCCCGCAGCTGTCTGGGCATGGCAACACCCAATTTCCCCCCCCCCCCCCCAATTTCCCCCGGGCCATCATCAGTCACCTGTGGAGGGGAGTGGAGAGATGATTAGAGATGGTTTAGAGGTACTCTAACAGCTACTCAACGCCTTTTACACTTCTCTTTGCACTTCTTTCTTTCAGCCATTTCTCAGGCTGGTGAGCGGCATCGTCCCGTCTGGTCAATTTCACCCCTATGGCCTTATGCCGTGGGAAGGCGCTTTCTGTCCAGTCGACCGTGACGTCAGTGGCCGCCTTCGTTACCGACAGAGGAGCTCCTTCACAGGCGCACGAAAGTGGAAGCAGAAATGAAGGGAAACCCGATGGACCGATTCCCGACATTCCCCGTTCAAGTGTGTGACTGCCAACATCTCTCCAAGATTTTTGCAGTATACAATCAACAGAACAACAATCTAGCATTCGATCTGGCAGTCTATGTAGTACATTGTATGGCGTCTTATTTCTGGCAAACCTTATCGTACTTGTATACGATACAGGCAAAGCTATATCATGTCTGCCAGGTGCAAAGCTTGTCGCCGAGCTCTTTTTCGACCTCACGCTGGGTCAGTGGTGTCTGAAGAGCCCGTGACTTTACCTGCATGTCACATTCCCCTTTAGTATATACGTACAGCAGGTTATACAAAATACATATTGCACTATGAGGGTAATCTGCCATTTAGGGGTCTCAGAGTTGTCTTGGGGCTTGTGCTCGGCCACCAAGAAAATTCTCAGTTGGGGTTAACAGCGGGACATAGTTCGGCGAAACATTCGGGCCCTGGGAGGCCTAAGAAAAAAAGGGGGTCCCCAGTTTTGGGAGCTTTGGCGGACCCAGTGGTGCCAAGGGTGGCACGCATTGCAGTTCCATTCACACCTGAATCCAAATCATGAAATCATGTAGGGCCGCATCTCATCGTCGCGCAAGGCAAAGCATTGGGACATCTTGTGTGGACAGTCAAGTTGCAGAGCCTTTGGATGGCGCCGAGCTCGTGGGCCCTGTGCTTTGTCTGAGTCATGGATCCTTTCGTGGCGGAAAACTGACGGTTTCCTGAGTTTCCTGTTGGTCGCCATGTTTTTGGGCCGTACTTTGTTCTACAATCCGCCTGCTCTTAAGGCCTGCATATCCTAAGCTTGGCTTGGTCTAGGCGGGCGATTCGTTGAAAAGCTAAGGTGTGGCAAGTTGTGGCAGTGACTGACTTTGATGGAACCTTCGCAGCCGGAGGAGCTGCCCGTCAGACATGCTATTGCATCCATGGCTCCCAGTATGTTGGCGAGAATCAGGCTGTGAGCCTGGCATGTGGAAGTCTTTAGCAAACATGCCAACCATTGCGAAAGGGCGAAAGGGTCCGAGGATGCGCAGCGAAGCCTTGGACTTGTTGTGAGTAATGTGGGCACGAAAAAAGACGCGGCTTGCAGCTGTGGACCCATGTTTTGCCTTTAGCGGCACGTTCGGGATTTATGTTGAGGGTATAGCAAGTTTGCATACGACTCCCGGTCTCACTGGGCACGTTGTGGCTGCCAGGGACCAGCTTCATGCTTAAACAGTGTGTAAGGGGGTTTAACAACAAGGAGAAACAGACTGATTTCTGAAAGTTTCAATGCGTTTGATTTTCGGGTGTGTGGCAGGAGCCTCGTCGGCGGTGCCAAAAGCCCAGCGCAGGAAACCGACGTTGGTGAGCTTCAGCGCGACACGGCCCACCGTGCGGGAAGAGTGCAAGGAGAGCTGTCAAGTTTCAACCACCCGAGTCTCTGTTAAACATGCCACTTGAAAAGACTAGAAGGGGTTTGGGTTCCATATTAACATTACACTGTGTGTGTGTATTTACGCAGAAGACTCACGACAAGAAAGAACAAAACGACGGGACACAACTGGACGCTGTTCGGAAGGAGACTGTGCCAGATTGGGATCTTGCCAAGTCGCTCAGCGACGACAATCCGTGCAAGTACGTATCAGGCAAGAAACCACCAAGCCAGAAGGAGTACGAGGACGATGGAGCGAAGCTCGCTCAGGTGAAGGTTTTAATGGTTTTATATGTTTTTTGAGGTTCTGGGAGATCCTGGGTTTATGGAGGGTTCAAACCCCCGCCTTGCTGTTAAAGCACGCGCCCTGGGCAAACAAAACGCGCCCTGATCCGGAAGAGGCGGGAGGTGAGGGACTCCCGGGCACACGACTGCACAGCAAAAAAAAGGGCCCCCCCCCCTGTAGCCCAAAAATGCCAGAAGAGGGCAACCAAAAATCGCGCACTGAACCGGAGAGCCCCCGCAGCACCCCCCACCCCCCGCTCTTTTTTAACCGTGCGAGCTTGCTTCCAAGCATATGACTCCCATTTGAAACCCATCATGCGAGCATTGTGCCTTGCAAAGGGGGGTTGCTGGTGCGCCCCCCCCCCCCCCTCAATATTCAGGAACCAATAGCCTGACCTCAAAGGAACTAGTACAGACAGACAGCCGCATTTTGATGGTCAGCGCTGCTCGTCGACCGCCGAGCCCGGTCTGAATGCGATCGGAAGGGACCCCCCATCCAAAGTCCAAAGGGGAAGAAAGGTTTAGGATTGCACAGCCTCTGTTGCTTCTGCTGTCCAGCTCAGGTGCCGCATCGGTCAAAAGAGAGGGGATTTAGGGTTTAGGTTTTGGTTCATCTTCCCAACGAAGAAAAGAGATGCTGGCCAGGGCCTCCAGGGGGCCTCCATCTTTTGTATACTTATTTTCGCACGGGCCCAGCAAAGGGCGGGAAGGCGGGGGGGGTGCGCGGATGCGCGGGCTCGTGACGGGGGACGTGCCCGGAACACCCTCGACGCGTGCCTTTGGGTCTCCATTTTGGGTTCCGTGCGCAGGCTGGCGAGCTTGAAAATCAAAGCACTTTCGGGTGTCGCCTGCTCCCCCCGGCCCCCCCCCACCCCGAACATCACTGCAGAAGGCCGGTCATGGTTCTGCGATATTTCGTCTGTACGCGCAACGGCAAGGACCCCCACGTAGGGATTCAGGGATCGGTCAGTTTCAGCGCCCCTAGAACTGCTGGGTGGAAAGCCTCTGCCCTGTTGTCCTCTCTTTTCCAGCAGGCCAGTCCCAGTGATTCCACGACCTCTGACAGACTGCGTTTCTCTTCTGCTCTGCGCCCTGACTCCGTCGTGAGTTCCCTTCTCTGCCCTTTTTGGACCAAGGTTACCGGATGTGGCCGACACCGGGCCTTGGACCACGGCGGAGGGCTGGAATGTCTGCACATCCACCCGACACCCGGCACTATCCTCAAGTCCGACGCCGCCTTGCCCTACCCGGACATGTTTCTGCTCAGCTCCGCTTGCTGGTTCCACTTGCGCCCACCGCTGTCAGGCCGAGGGGAACAGATGCTTGGGTTTCTGTCTCCCTGTACGCCGGACGTCTGTGATCCTTTCCTTTCTGCTCGGCCACTGCCTGTGTACGTCAGGCCCTTTCTGTGAGGTGTTGCCGGCTGCCCTC